CAAGCTCCTAATCAAAGCGTAATGCATACTGGTAGAAGAGGTCACCTCTGCTAGAGTATCCCAGCTGCTCAGCTCTGCCTCTGTGGTTCAATGCTTCACATGCCGCTGTAGCCAGCCGCTTAAACTGGGGTCACAGGTGTTGCAGGGAAGGAAGGAAGGAAACCTCAGAGGTTTAATATACTTTTGAGCCATTATGTTTGGCTCAGCGTTCCCATATGTTGTAAAAGCACAGGTGTCTTCAATGTGTCTGACTGCAGGATTAAACCTGGGGTTTGACTACTGCAGAAGTCCCAGGAAACAAAGCAGTTGAAGGTTTGACTGATCAACTTTCTACAGTGGCAATGATCTCTCCTCTTTTTGAGGCAAGAGGAGCAAAGGGGAAATGAAATTAGCCTGGAAAGTAAAAAGATCTCGCTGTTGACATCTGTTTAGAAAAGTTCTTAGGCGCGTGCTGAACTCAAAGGACGCGCACAGGTGTTCTTCAGCACAGGGGCTTTGCTGAATGAGGGGGCAAGTGGACTTGCAGGTGGGATGCTTTCTGTAGTGCTTTTAGTGAGGTAATGAAAAAGCTTTTTGTGCTTAGAGTGAAAATAGTTCTTTTGCACATAGTGACTTCCTCTTACTTGTATTACTAAGTAATGCTAAGAAGAACAGGACTGTCCAATTTACAGATCATAAACATCAAATATATTTAACGTATATTCTCCAAAATAAGCAATTTTATTTTTATCAAAAATGCACTCTGGTTTTTTCAGGTAACAGATGGAAATCAATGGATTTTAATGTAACCCAGAAGAGCAAGTTGTAGTCTTATTCCCTTAAGTGCCCTTTTCTTGTTCAGACCACAGCTGTAAAGGGATTTGAACCTCAACACAATAAATATCAGTACGGAAATTTGAAAGGTAGGCCACAGACTTCATGGCCCAATGGAGGAGGTATCTGCTGTTCCTTAGAGCTGTGCAAAATGAGACAGAAGCAAAATAGCATCTTTTTCGTATAATTCATATTGTAGCTAGCCATGGTGTCCAAGTTCAGCATTTTATATATAGCTTGTGTATTAAAAAGTAAACATCTACCATTAGGCTGGAGAAGAATCTCTGCAGTGTGCATTCTAAATATAGAGATTGCTGTGGTACAGTCAGTACTAGGACATAATATCTCTTTGCTTTTTTAATATGCAGATGATAGTCCCCACTGTATGTATATTGTGTACGTAAAAGTTAAACACAAACATGCATACAGAGCTATATATGCACACATACATGTGTACGTACAGACACACATGATCTTCTGTAGAAAAAAACAATGACAGATGTTAAATGGCAGTTACTTGCTTAACATGGAAAGAAATCAGGCACTGTGAAAGGTACCATTCTTGACACGGGCAGTAATTCTACCATAACTCCAAACTGGCAGCTCCTTGTGCTCCCACTTTTCCCCTGGGAGTAACGCTGGTGAGCTGCCAGCCATCCTGCCCGTAGCAATAGGGACGATCTGCAGCTGCAGTACTTTGCAGTACTGTATTTCTGGATGTTTAATTTTGCAGGCAGAGCAGTGCCTGGCTAGCTTTCTACATGTAATCATCTTAGCTTATTTACTGTGTGAAATAAATTGTTCTTATTTAATAATGGTTCCCAATTTGGCTTTTAAGTTTACACCTGACAGATGTAATGGGATAAAGAGGGGGAGGTCACCCCTCTTCTGCTACTGGTATTAAGCTGCAAACCATTTTCTCTAGAGGTGGCTTAACAGAACAGGAGTGTTTTTAGTCATAGAGTAGGAAGAGACAATTAAGCACACAATACTTAGAGAGGCAGCAACGATCATGATAATGGAGGACCTCAACTACCTGTACGTAGTCTGGCCAAGAATCACCACGGGACAAGTTATAAAGAAGGAATTTCTCAAATGGTTATTTCTTGGCACGAGCAGCTGTGGAGTACACAAAGGCAGGGAGAGCTCTCAAACCTGGGTGAAGCTCAAGAGCTCATTGGAGACGTAATACCAGCTGAACCATTAAGCAATACTGACCACAACATAATTACATCCACCCTGCCTGGGGAAGGTAAGGTACCAAAGCTTTGTAAAGTGACCCTAAACATTGGAGAGGAGTGGTGGGGAGGACAGGAATGCGGGTGGGGGGAAAGATACAAAAAGCTGTCACTGTCTGAAGGTGACTTGCCTCCAGCAGACCATGATACAAAGGAGCTCCCTTGGCACAGGCAGTGGGAGCTTCTGCCACCCAACAGGAACACTTTGCAGTGAGCACTCGTGGGGCACCTCTGGGGAGCTGTATAAGAAAGAAGACCAAGAGAAGATAAACTAACCTGGTTAGAAAAATCACCTCACTGAGGTGTAGCCCACAGCTAGGTGTATCTCCAGTCCAGAGAGAAGCACTCAGTCAAAGTGGGTTTTGGTCTCTCTCTGCCGAGGCCATAGAGTTATGCAGGGTTTTGAGCCCATTCCTTGGAAAAGGAGCTACTGAGGCCAACTCTGATGTAGGAATGGTACCGTAGGCATCCTGCCAAAGTCAGCACAGCGTGTAAAATCCCAGGTCTGAGGAAAAAAATACTTAGGCATGTGACAGTATATTGTCATACTTTTAATGTCAGAACCACTGGTGGGATAGGCATAGTTAGAGTGGTATGATTATATTCCAACTATTTGTAGTGTTACAGAGTTTTTGAAGGGACCTGCAATACTGAATAGGCGGTAAGCTTAGAAAGAGGTCCGCTGGATGGCCTGTGGTACGATTAAATCAAGAACACTTGTAAAGTCAAGTACCTGGCTGCCACTGCTGTCAGGGTTGCAAGGGTGGTTTTACTGCACAGTGCTGCAGCATCCCATTTGTACTGGCCCACAGCTTAGCCCTGTGTAACGTGTGGTACTTTTCCTTCAGCGGGAAGTCCACGTAGCCCAAGCCACCCAAGGGGTTAGATGGACCTTGGCTGCAAACACGTAGAGTACTCTGCTCTGCTTGTGAACTCAGCTCCCGCATAGGGCAACATATACATTGACATGTGCCATAGGTACGATTGGCGTGTGTGTCTGGAGATTTCAGACTAACTCGAAGCAAAAAAACAAATTAAAAAAGATGTAAGGCTTTGTTTAATAGAGCATTAATTATGCAGGTACTGGAAGATTTCTAGTTCCTTTCAGCACTTTTATGCAGAATTTAGATTCTGCTGGATATACTTAATTTTTTAAAACCCTCTACATTTTGCAGTTTACACATTTGCATAGCGTAGGACTACTGTCAGGAACATATATCTGCAGATCTGGGGCATGAGCTGTTCTCATCATTTCAGTGGGATGGAGAAGAGAAAACAGTTCAAAGGAGGAGGATGGGGGAAGGGAAGCATTTCCATATTTTTTTTTAAGGAGTCATAAAGACACACAGGCAAGTGTGTCAATCATGAGACATACTTCTCTCTTTAATATTGTCAGGAATACAAAAGTTCACAGAGCACATGTGTGAGAGGGTGCTGCGCTGCCTTGACTACATGATCTGCATGATACATGTCAGAAGATGGGAATGTTGCTATGGCAATTCTTCCCTTTCCTGAATACTAAGTTGACAAAGAAGCCAGTCCACAATCAGGCAGGCTCACTTATGAACTTGCCTGCTTGGAGATGCTAAATACTATTTATAGTTTCTCTTGAAAGGAAACAACAGTGTTTTCTGCCCTGGCCTCTTAAGGCCCTGTGCACCAGTCCTCCTATATTCCCAAGGTTTCTGTGATTTGGAAGCTGCTGAAGGCAGAGATTTAACTGAATTTTGTGCTGAAGACTGTTGGGGTGTTCCCTCAGCTTATACAGTGTCCTTCAATTTCCAACTTGCTAAGAAGGCAACAGACAGATGGGTCTTTCTGCATTTCCAAAAGTCATCTTGCTGTTTTGTAAAGTTCTGGATCAAGTAATCCATAAATCTTTACTTTCAGAGGATTTACTCTGCCAGTCTGCAGAGGAGTAGCCTGTTCCTATTTACATTTCCCCCTGGCAGGGCAGCAAGAGCGGGACTGGAAGCCTGTTGGTTCCCCCTACCAACTTTTTAGCTGGGCAACCCTTAGAGCCCGTCCTGTCCTTGCTTGTACCATCGAGCCTTTCCCACTGTGCTGTGTGGGTACTGTGATGGGAAAGATATACCTTTACCACCGGCTCTCCTAATTGCATCTTTGATCTCCCTTTTAGAAATAATATTCTGTTTTGCTTCCTACCCTAAAAATCTGTATAGCACTGCTTTGTGGAACCAAAGCAACTGGCAGCTCCATTGCAGAGGTGGCGAACTTCAGTAGATGCAGTGATTCCTGTATTACCATGTTTCCCGTTGTCCAGGTTGTATAATATTTTCTAGTAGCAGGCTCTGATTTCAGTTATTTTCCTTTTACCTAACTTTCATTTTGTAGACTGGAATAGTCCCTGCTAGGAAAATTCTACATTCTGATTCAAGCTAAATACTGGGGGGAAATTTTCTAAGATGGCTCAGGCACTCCAAAAATGAAGATAAGGAAAAATAGACTGTATTGTCCATATTTTAAAAAGGTCCTTCAAATTAGTTGATCACATTGTTTTTATTTTGGGCTTTTTTTCTTCTTTTGTTTGGTCAGGATGGATGCTGCTCTAGGGAACTGTGCAGGGAGGGAGGATGCAATAGCCTCATCTGATGTGCCATAAATGAGGCAGGACAGCACAGGAAGAGAAGGAGGGGGAACCTGAAAGTTGCTCTGCAGCACTGGATGCTCCGCTTACATGTGTGGTGCTGGGTAAGTTACTTAATCTTACCACTTCACAGTTGGCCAGTAACTTTTTTTGTAGTTTGAAATGTTTATTTAGCACCTCCCATGGGCTCTAGAAGTACTAAAACAAATGAGTTCTGCAAGAGCAAATGAGCAAGACAAAAGGTATCACTGAAAATTATGGCAAGCTATATACCAAATCACTCCAATACCCACCTCAAACAGAGAATGTACCCAGCATATGGATTTATTTGATGCTTCAGTGTCCAGTTATAGAGTAACAAAGCCAACAGAAAATATAACAATCTGTCATGGGGAGAAACATGACCAAAACAGCAATAAAAGAGAAGTTTTATGTCAAGTTTAATACTTCTGCACAAATTCCAATGAGACCTACTGAACTCTCTCAGGCAAGTCACAGGTTGGTGTAGATGAAGAGGCATCTTTGGATCATCTACAAGACATCTTTGGAAACTGCAGGAGCAGGTGCTCTCCAGAGAAATGTGCCTTCCTGATGTATCATTCATTTGTTCTCTGTAGGAACAAGAAATAAATGGAAGAATTTAAAATTTAAGGCTTAACTCTGTAATGCATACGCAGACCCCCAAAAAAGTCTCATTGACTTAATTATTCATTTTGTGTCTGGTTTCTACTGCGTTCATCAAGAGAGCGTTGCTCAGTCCAGCTGGTCTGAGGTTTTTGATACCCATCTGACTCAGAGGCAGAGCTTCAAACCACAGTGGCCAGTACACAGACGTCAAAAGTTTCCACAGTGCAAACGACACAGGAGTGAAAAGCATTTACTTGTTTAGCGGGATTAACACAGAAAGGATGCTTAGCAGTTTGCAACCACCCAGACCTAGGATTCTTGAACGATGCTCTTTCTTCTTTCTTTTCCACCTGAGCTCATTTTGTTTCCAGAGATTTAAAGGACGAACTTGAGAAGCCACCTCTGCTGCAGGTACTTTCCATGTTTCTGAGTGAACGGGCCAAGAAAAACAGCAGACGAAGGTAATTTTCCTTCAGTATTCCGCACCAGCTAGAAAAGGTGATGAACTGCAGCAGAAAATTCGCTGGCAATTTTAGTCAGCGCAGCTCACCCTGCTGAAGGGGGACCAGCATACGCTGCTTTCTGATGGGCAGCATCGCCATGCCTCCGGGTCGCAATGTTGTGCTGCAGCTTACCCAGAGCAAGTGTGGATGTCCTGTCCGGAAGGACTGAAAAGCTTAGATTTCTCTGTTCAAAGAGCAGCTTTTACCTCGTGCTGCCAAAAGCTGTCTGTGACCGTGAAGCATCGTCCGGGACGTGACCATGAGAGCTTCTTCGGCCGTGCTGTTTGCAGGCTGCCTGCCTCTAGTGACCACAGCACTACCCCTTTGTCTTCCCCACCGAAGCCGAGAATCACTTGCCCGTCCCTGGAAGAGCTCCTCAGCATTCACGGCCATGAAAAACCACAAGAGCTGGAGTAAAATGAGATTTATTCAGAAAGAGGGTGTGAATCCAATTAGAGCAAAATAAACAGTCTACATGACACATTTCTTTCGCACCTCTGCAGAAGCTAATCTAGCTAATCACTTTGTGTTGTAACAGGAAAATAATCGATACGTTACAACTGCGCAGCCAGTATCGGAGGATGCAGGCAGCAAACACCAGCTGTCCAGGCCTCCAGCCCATCCAGTTCTGCATTTGTTACTGTGAGCCAGCAGCTGCCTCTCATGTGTCCTCAAACTTTCTGCCGCGGTGCCTACACGCAAGCACTGACTTGGGGCCACATCTCATTTTCTTATTCCCAAATAAGCATTGTGCTTTGCTGCCATGATGCGAGTTTCCTAAATAAGAAGATATTCTGGGAAAGAGATCTTCCTGTGTGCTCTTGAGAGGAGACAGTTGTTTCTTTCGGCAAGCGTGCTGTTCACACAGGCTGCACTGACATCCTGTGGCTCAATTTCCCTGCCTGGAAGGAGCACGAAGGGACAGCTTCTCCCCCCATCGCCTGTCCCCTCCGCATCCCCCCTCCGCTCCCTGTGGATCACCGATGCCCCATCCAAACCCTCAGGCACTGGCCCTGGGAGGGGAAGAAGCGCCTGCCGCCTCGGTGGCTCCAGCCCCAGCTCCTGCCCACCATGCCAGGCTGGCAGCATCCCGGGACCTGACCTCACCACAGCACCACTTGCCCACACACCGCCAGCCTGGGGAGCAAGTGAGCATCTCCCCCCCGCCTTTTCGGCGTCCCCTGAATCACTGCCCACAGCAGCAGGGCTGGGCGAGGATGAGCTGTAGTGACCCATCGCTCGGTGGGGTGTTGCTGGAAGGGCAGGGTTTTTTTTAAGGAAAAACTGATGAAAATCCCTCACACCCCCCCAATCTCTGCCCACTGGGACTCCAGGTAGATCCCAGACGGCACTTGCCACACACGTTCACAGCGCCGAGCCCTGCCACGGGGCGCGCAGGGTCTGTAGCGAGCTGCCTCCCCCAGGCCGGGCTCAGACAGTACGCGAAATAGCACCCAGCCCCATCAGAAGTCGAGTTTAATTTTACCTTCCCCTGGGGAATAGCGTTAATCTGTAACTTTTTAGGCATCACTCAATCAGCTGAATAACAGCTATTAGCTTTGGACTCTAGGCATTTTTATGAGATATTAGTTCCAGGGCTTGTGGTTTGGCATAGAAAGCATATTATTCACACACAAAACAACGGCATTAAAATAACATTAGGAATCTGGCTTAAACTGACAAAACCTAGGAAACTCAGAATTAAGGCTGAAAGTATGTCCTTAACTCACCCACTGTGTGCCTGGTACAGCAGCTCGGGCGGTACGTCGGACCCGCTGGCTGCGGCCCCTGCTGCCTCCAGCTGAGCTGTGCCCCCCTCCCCACTTCCAGGGAGGAAACCAGGCTGCACCTCGACCACGGTCCCACCGCCCCCGGGGAGCAACGACGCCTCTTTGTGCCGTGGAGTCCTTGTTCGGTCAGATGTTTGGGGCTTAAGTGTAATGCAGCTCTTTTCCGTGTGTCTCTACTTACAGAGCCGGGTTTCCTCCCCTGTCACCAGCATCACCGTGGTCAGAGCAAAAACTCTTAAGAAAGCAACGCAGGCTGAGGAGGAATTCATCTGGTGTGTGGTCAGGGGTGAGACATGAGCCGGACGAGCAAATCCATGTGGTGCCTGGCTTTGACTTGCCCTTGATTTGCTTTGATTGATCAAAGTACCCCAGCCAGAATGAAATGCAGCCGGGGCAGTGACTGCTGGCTCACGCCGGGGATGGCGCTCAGCTGCAGAGGCTGGCTGGAGGTAACGCCAGCCCTGAGAGAAGCAGACGGGCCTTTCTGAAACCTGCTGGGGGAAAATCCTTGGCCCAGAAAACACCTTCTAATGTTCACTTTGTGGGTCGCCTTACTGTGAGGGGACCGAGGCCAAGAAGTAATGTGGGGACACAGGTTGCTGTCACCGGAGCTGAGGGGAGGAGGGGAACTCGTGCACAAGCTGTGCCGAAGGGCTCCCCTTTCACAGGGCCTTTGTTCAGAGGAAGCCACGCCACACATCAAGAAATTTGTGTCATAGCATCCAGTGGCTGAAAAATGAAGGAGGGTCCCCAAAAGGGTCATGCAGTGGGTCAAAAAGCAGCAGTGCTGCAGGCATTCCCGGTCCAAACATCTGCTGTGCTCCCATTTTTCTCCCAAAGCCTTGCCCTTGGTCACAGGACACAGACATCAAAATGCTCATCTGGCCACTGGCTTTCCGGAAGCTGTATCTGAGCTTTGGAAAAGGTGATCTCAGCTGCAGCATGTTCGCTGCAAAAGCAAACAAATGAAAGCAGCAGGCTCGGCGGTATCACAGCTCACATCCTCCAGGAGAAGAATCACCACAGGCCCCTAGGAAGGACCAACATGCCCATTCCTGGTGACAGACTGGCATGGCTCATTTTAAGGTTTTTTTTTCCCTCTATGGCCAAGTATTTGCCTCCAGATTGCAGTTAAATCAGCTCCTCTAAAAGCATGTTTGAAATGAGCTTCACTTCTGCTCTACCCGTTCCTTTTATTTATGAGCTCTGCCATTTTGTAGGAAACAACCCAAGATGTTCATGCATGAGGCATCTCTCAAGGATAAACCACATTAAAGAAAAAAAAAAACAAAACCAGAAGGTAGCAGCCAAAAAAAAAAAAATTGTGTTCAAATTGCAAGGTTGTCACGCTGCTCAGTAAAAAGGGGTGCACCTTAACCATATTGGGTGTGATTTTTTCCTCTCAGTGAGGTGAGAAAGACATTTGCTATTCCCATCTTGGAAGCAAAATAAATAGAATAATTATTTCCTTTCCCAGCAAAGGCAAACGCAGCTGAACTTAGCTCTGTGCTTTTTACTTGTGTGCCATAAACCAACACATTCCCTCGCTGGCTGGCATTTGGAACAGACCACAAACACAGTACGCCTGGCACCAAATTTGTGTTTCAGGTCAGAATTGAGATGTTCTGGTGATAAGATGAAGGATAATTGTTCTCCGGACTCCCTGTCGCAGAAACGCTGTAGCTAAATTTACCATAGAATAATTCCAGTTTAATTCTTAGGAGGTCTTTTAATGAAAAATAAATGTTTCGCTTGTTGTGGACCCATCCTCCAAACATAATTTGGGATCCCAGCATCAGGCTTCCTTGGTCTTCTTTTAAAGTTGCTACGTGTCTCCGTGTCTCAGAGTACAGCTGGCACCACGGGTACTCACTGCTTCTGAAAGACAGGTCTGAAATGAGTGGGCGCTGCATGACGTACGGTCTCTGTCCACAACATGCAAGTGATGGCCATGTGTGAATAGACCCTAACCCTCTGCTGTGCTTCCTAAAACAAAAAAGCTTAGCCTAAAAATAGAAAAATCTCCTCCATCTTGGGCCCACCTTGTGCCACAGGGCCAGCGTGACCTGCTACAGAGCAAACGCCCGTGACTTCCACTTCCCGCAGCTGCAAAGTGCTGTACGGTGCGGTGCCTCCCCTGCACACGAGCATATGCTCGTCCTTTGGATTTCATGAGGCAGATGTTCGGATCTGTGCCAGTGGGTGTCTGCAGGATGGAAAGTACATGCAGATGTACACATATGCATGTGCATTTACAGAAAATGATAGAAAATAGGCCTGGATGGGTTTTCAGGGCCGACCTGGAAGGATCTGTTATCTCACCCGTGCACATCTGCAATCCCCACAAATAAGTTTTTGCCAGAAACCAAGAAGGGGTTGAGACTCCAGGTGCATGCATCTTATTAAGCACACTGTGCCCCTTTAAAAATATGGTTTAAATGGCAAGTGATTGTTTCCATATTAAGGAAGGCTTAAGAATGACTGACAAGATCTGCTTTTGCAGCTCTTATTTCTGCCAATCAAGTTACTGAGGACAAGAGTGAATAGTGCATATTTAGAAAATGTATTTTTAAAGTTGGGCCTTGACTGAACAGTAACTTCATGAGAAAGTGAAGCCTTCCCTTCCCAACTAGCTGTGACTGAAATATAGCAAACGAAACAGGGAAAAAAAAAGGCATAGTAAAGAAACAAAGCTATAAAACAAAAAGGCAGTTTTGCCAGACGTGCAGCAGCACCCTACACCCTCTTCTCAGGCTTGGGATCAAAGCTGGGTGCTCGTATCCAAGGGCTCTGATTAACCCTTTCCTCCCACCCTGGCTACCACCCACATCTCAGCTCTTCATCAGTCCCCTCCCTCTTCATCTGCTTTTGCTGCCAGGTGGTCTGGCATTCCCTTATCACGGCCTCAAAGGACTTCACAGTATGGGGGACTGGAAAAACAAACCAAATTCTCCTCCTGAGCCAAGCAGGTAGGTCCCCAGGTGCCTGCCCTCATTACAGAGATTGCTTTCAGAGCAGGATCCAGCTGGCAAAGGTTTCTCATTAGGATGGCAACGCTGAAAACGTGAAGCTGGAGGGAAACTATGTAGCTGTGGAGCAGAGGTGGCCTTGAGGTGGGGGTTAAAGGGGGGGGGGGGGG